GGCGTGGGGCAGTGGCTGGGAGGGGGCACTCTCAACCACCCTGGCACCCCAGTGACTCTTGGTTTTGTGTGTCCCTGTGCAGGTGGTCAAGGCCATAAACATAGTGCTGCTCCACAGAGTCATCCGCCTCATTGATGTGGACGTGGTGATCGATGGGTTTGGTGGCCTGGGTTTCCCCAACTGCGGTGGGAGGGGGGAAAGCAATCGATGGGACACACATCCCCATCCCTGTGCCCCACAACACCAGGCCTCCCTGTACATAAACCAGAACGGATACTTCTTTGTCATACTGCAGGCTGTGTCTGACCATGGGGCCACTTCATGGACATTAATGTGCGCTGGTCTGGCAAAGTACACAACGCACGTTTGCCAGAGGCTGCACGCCGGGACTTTCTTCCCCGACCGCCACATCAGGGTTAGGGATGTGGACATGCCAGTGTGCCTGGTGGGGGATGTGGCCTACCCCCTACAGCCCTGGCTGATGAAGCCCTACATGGGACACCTCAACCTTCCCCAGCAGGCCTTCAATGCCGTGCTCAGCAGGGCCTGCATCGTGGTTGAGGGGGCCTTCGGCCAACTGAAAGCACAATATTCCGCACGTGGTGGCAGCGTGCTGTATGCTTCACAATTTATGTGAGAGGAAGAGGGAGGCTTTCCTGCCAGCCTAGATGGCTGAGGCTGAGCACATCCCCGCATGGCTGCAAGCCGTGAGACCCTCCGGGGGGATGTCTGTATCCAGGAAGCCCTGCGGGAGAGCTTCCAGACGGACGAGGACTGAAGTCCCCTGGCGTGCCCCACTGGGGCCTGGGGCCTTACATTCCTCCCCCACCTCTTTCCCCTCCCTAACCTCCCTTCTTGATCTACAATAAAAACACCTGTGTTGCCACAAAATACACTCTTTATTTAACATAACTGGGGTGGGGGGAGGAGGGAAATGAGGGTGGGAGAGGAGGGGAGGAAACCTGGGAGGAGGGAGCTGGAAGGGGGAGGCAAGGGGAGGAAGAGGAAGGGGAAGCTCAGGGCTGGAGGTCTTGCCGGCCCTCCCATCTAGCAGCACTGCAGGTTTGGGGGCCTCGGTGTCCCCAGTGGGGAGTGGGTATGGAGGGTGGGGTAGTGCCTTTCTCCGGAGTCAGGAGCCTGTCATGTGCCTTCATGCATAGACGCATGTGCCCTGAATGGCACCCAGCTGGGGCCACATGTCCCGGATGGCATGGCAGATGCACAGGTTGCCACCTGCTCCACGGTCGGCATGGCCCACGCACACAGTCCCTGGGCTCCCTCTCCCCCCTCTGCCCCACATAAGGGGACTGTGATGTCACTCACATGTGGAGGCCTCCCTGGCCTTGGATGAGACTGCTGACAGGCTCTCTGAGACGGCTCGGGGGTCCTGGGTGCAGGGCATGCTCCCTGCAGGCTCCTGAGGCTCCTGGCCTTCGTCCTCCTCCTCTTCCTCCTCTTCCCCTGTGTCAGGGGCAGTAACCACCGGGGGGCACAGACAGTCTGACCCCCCCCAGGATGCGGTCCAGGGCCTCATAGTGCGGGCAGGCGTCCGGGTCAGCTCCTGGTTGGGAGCCCCTGGCATAGGTCTGCCGCACCTCTTTTATTTTAGTCCACACCTGCTCCTGGGTGCACACGTGGCGTCTGGTGGCCAGGCTGGTAGCCATGCAGCTGTAGATGGTCACATTCCTGTGCCTAGTGTGGAGATTGTGGGCATTGGAGGCCTCCCCCCAAACCTAAATGAAGCCCACGATCTCCACACTGGGAGCTGCCAGCCTGGTCCTGGGGAGCAATGCGGGGCTGGGTGGCAGCAGGTGGCCATGGTGGGCCAGGTGCAGGGTCTGCTGGCTCTGTGCTGGCAGGCTAGCAACTAGCACAGGCACCGTGGCCAGAATCTGCCCCTTTAAGATCTCTGGGGCTGGGGGGAGCAGAAGAGTTTTCCTGGTTGTGCCCAGAGTGGCCACCAGGTCTCCCTGGGAAGGCTGGAGGCCCCCTAATTCGAAATAAGTGCCTACACAGCACTTCATTCAAAATAGTTATTTCGAATTTGGTGTTACTCCTCATAGAATGAAGTTTACCAAATTCGAAATGAGCACTCCGTTATTTCGAATTAAATTTGAAATAGCAGTTTGCATGTATAGACGCTATTGAAGTTAATTTGAAATAAAGGCTGTTATTTTGAATTAACTTTGTCATGTAGACAGACCCTGAGGGATTTCCAATTACCACTTGGAGGGCGGACAGCTCTTGCCCCAGGATCAGGCCCAGTATTTACATTTTTCTGTGGTTAGGAACTCTGCTGTGCACAGATGCCACACTCCCACTATGGGAACTCTTGTATATTTGCAAATAGAGTTTATTAATACATGGAGCCCAGTTACAAACACTTGAACAACATAAGATAGAGAGGGACTGTACATCTACAGAGCGTTATACTCACCCCATTCCTCCTGGGTGTGAGGGTATTCTTGGACGCCTCTATGCCATTGAAGGTTGCTCTATTGTGGTGAAAGGTCCTGAATGTGTGCACACCCAGACTATGTCTATACTACAGAGCTTTTCCACAAAACTCGCAGAGCGTCCACACCTCAAGCATGTTTTTGCGCAAGTAAATCAAAGGATCCAGAGGGGGTTTTGTGCAATTGGTAAGCCTCATTCTACGAGTAAGGACGCCTTTCTGATCAAGAACTCTTGCACAAAAAGGCATGTGTGGATGGAAAAGAGGGGGTTTTGCACATGAAGAGGAACCCCACAGGTGCCTTGGTGGCTATGCTGTCCAAAGCCATCACTGCTTACTTGCAAGAGTCTGGATGCGCTCTTGTGCAAAAGCACATTGCTTTTTGGATACACTTTTGCAGTGTGGTCACTCTCTTGCATAAGAAGAGCTCTTCCAAAAAAAGCATCCTGTGCAAGACGCCTGCAGTCTAGAGGTAGCCTGACTTTGCGGTCTGGGTGAAATATCCCACACATAGGTTTGCTAACTTTGCCTTAGCTTGACATACAGGATGTGGCCTGCAGGTCCCTTGCGTTACAGCCTAACTGCAAAACTACTTTCATATATAGCCTATTATAATAACCAGAAGGAAACAAAAACCTACAGGAAAAGATACTTACAGGCAAACAAGCAGGTTCCCAGCCTTGCTGGGGACACTCAGAAAGGTGGATGCCTTACCATGCTGGAACCCCCATCTGCACCACTACATCCTCCACCCTCCCAGCATGTGAAGCAGCATCCACACCACAGGGCACAAAGTCATGGTCTACAGACCAACTACGGCTAGAGCACTTATGGAGTCCAACCCAGGACTCCCAGCATCCCAGGGGGTGTCCCCAAGCTCTGCCTCTTCCCACAATGCTCTGCTCTCTCTCCCTCATTGCAGGGGATGGGGCAGTGGGGCACTCAGGTCAGCGGCTTGGGGTGTGGGAGTTCAGGAGGGCAGGGAACCCTCCCCCCAGGGGTCACACCAGGATGCTTCTTGCTCTTCCCCTTCCTATCACTGTCAGGGCGTGAGGGGAAAGTGCCCAGCTCCTCTGACTAGTGCCATGCCCAGGCCGAGGCATGTTTGTGAGAGATGCTGTCTTAGTCTGTTTCAGCAAAAACAAGGAGGAGTCAATCAGGGTGAATGATTAGTGTGGATAGCACTGACCCTCCACGTAGTAATGTAACACTCACATCTCTGCATGGATGGATCGCTCTCTGCCAAATCTCCACTTCATGCATCTGACCATGTGCGATAAAGCCATCCACACTTACGTCCTAATAAACCTCAGAATCTTTAAGGTGGCACAGGCCTCTTCATTGTTTTTGCTCCATTTCTGTCTCTGGGCTGAGATGGGGGGTCTCAGTTGTGAGCCCCTGGAGATATTGCAACAGAAGGGACAAGCTTTTGATTCACCCGTATCCTGTGAGATCTGACTCGGTCGTTGTCTCTGCTGTTTATTGGATTCAGGTGGAGTTTTGTGTCTGTTGGTTTTGTTGTTCTCACCCACTTCTAGAGATTCTGATGGGGCTGGGCTGGGCACGGAGGGTTTTCTTTGTACACGTGTAGATCGTCTTGTTACTGCTGTGCAACTTTTTCAGCTTTCAGTTCAAGGAACTTGGTCAGAACTTTCTTAGCATCTTCCGCAGCATCATCCAGAAAGCTCTTCAGCATGTAGTATGTGGTCCCAAGAGATAGTGCTCCACCTGCCAGGGAGCCAAGGACTGGTACAAAATCCAGAAGAAGTTCAACTGCCATCAGGCTTCCAACTATACATTTAGAAAGAAGACTCATTACAAAGTCTTTTGTTATTGTCGAGGCCAGTGGAGACTTTTGGATGACAGATTTCAGCTCTTCAACAGGTTTGTCAACCTGCCTGGCCAGGTTGGTGAGAGATTCCTCATCCAAGCCTAAGTACTTGCAAAAAAGACTCATGCGAGACATCAAGATGACTACATCACAGACGAGAGAGAAGCCTGGAATAGGAAGAGCACCGATAGCACATGACACAAGGGCTGCTTCCCAGATACGCTCCTGCAGTTCAGCCTTTTTCTTTTCCACAATCTTTGCCGAGATGTTGGGCAAGGCCAGGATGAATACGTGTCTCTTCTCACCATTCAGCTCATTCGCCAGTGTCTCCTGCAGGAGCTGGAAATCATAGTCAGCTGGTTCCCAGTTGGAGATCAGGAAAACCCTTGGGGAGGCTTCACCTAATTCTCTCAGGTTCTTTATGCAATTCTCCCTGATCTGATTCAGGGTTCTCTCCTTGTTGAAATTGCTTTTCCTTTTTTCACCCTTCAAGTCATTATCCACGTGGGAGTGCACATAATAAAACTTCTTGCCCATCTTGTGAATCTCACGGGCCAGGGAGGCGTGGTGGGAAGTGAAGCGCTGTGAGGCGATGATGATGAAGAAGTCGTAGCTGTTGAAATTTACCTGCTTGAGGTAATTGTCTGCCTGAAAATCGGGTTTCCCAATTCCTGGCAGGTCCCATAATTTTACATTTGGCAGAGTGGGGTGTGAATAAGCCTTTGGCTCCATCGTTGTTTCTATCACCCCCGTCGCTGCAGCACCTTCAGCATCGTCACGCAGGCCCAGGATGACATTGACAAAGGATGATTTCCCTGATCCCGACTCTCCCGTGATGGCGATGTTTAGTGGGGTTTCATCCAATGACTTCAGCTTCTCCTGCAGTTTAGCAGCAGCTTCTGTGATGTTTCCTGTCTCAGCGATGGCCTTCAGGTGCTCAATTTCCTTTTTATCAATCATGGCAGCCTTCAGCAACGGCTCAGTTCCTCTTACTGCAGATCTGAACAAAGGAAAAGACAAACATCCAGTGATGTGTCTGATTAGGATCAATCAGACAAATCTCTTTCCTTCAGAACTTGTGACTGGTTGGGGGACGAGTTCATTCTGACATCAATTTCAATTGCATGAGGTTGTAATTAAGTTTAACACTGGTTGATTTACCTAGAAGCAAACACCCAACCTCTAGCAATAACGATGCTCTAGGATGTTTGATTGTATTAAAAGGGGGGAATCAACAACAAATAGACAGTTCCAAACATCCAAGGCCTGAATGAGCTTTCCCCAGCAGCTAGCTGGGAGCAAGAGAAACTTCAGGAGCAAACACCATGGACCCTTTGTTTGTGGGAAGCAGTGCGGTTTGGGTTTACATGGGGCTCAACATGCAGCCCACGGGTGGGATCCTTTGAACATGGCCTCCACTGGATACACGCTTCACAACAGCCAGGCATCTTCCAAGCAGGGCGAGCATTAAAAGACACAAACGGATGGGCTGATTGAAACAGACAGGTACGGGGTGTTGGCATTTCTAGACTCCAAGGAGGTGCCAGGAGCACCAGGGCATTGTGGGAAGTGCTTTGTTTTTATGCCCATCAGTGTGAAAGAAGCTATTTGAATTTATTTGCATATATATTTGCATGTACATGCAACCACACTTAAGTGGCGGCCCTCCGCATGTGCTGTGAGTGTTATGGTGGCCCTGGGACTTCCAAAGTTGGGGAGCCCTGATTTAAATGGACATAGCTACTTTGCCTGGGTATCCAGCAAACTGAACTGTGTTGCTCAATGTGATCAGTTTTGGCTGGGGCTGGGTTACAAATCACTGTAGTACTGAATGCAGGGGTGTTGCAATATTGTTTTCAAGTCACTGTCTTCACAGTATGAGTAAAGGGGGGAGAATGTGCTTAATGACAATTGGCTCATGACAATGAATATGCATTGCTCAAAGACACTTGAGACAAAAGCCAGCATGTGCCACTGGGCGGGGCCCCCCGACCCCCAGAAAAATCAGTCGGGGCCCATGCACAAGTGAGAAGCAAAAATAAAAACCAAAAAGCCCCTCACTGACATGGCCCTGACTGAGAAGGAGAGACACTCCCCACATTCCCCTCGCACACCAGAGCCTAGGGGAGTCCAGGCTGGGACACTTTTTGTTGTCCAGCACCCCACCCCCCCAGGAGATCACAGGGGGTTAAGCAACAGCACAGTGCTGGTAGGGGAGCCCTGAGCCTCGGGGGCCAGATCCAGGCAAGCGGAAAGCCACATCCCCTCTTGTACCATTTCATTTTTACAGTTACAATCTGCTGCGTGCTTTGGGGAGATTGCAGAGTCAATGGGGGCTTGGGAAGGTTTGCAATGTTGGCTGGGGTCTGGTCTGGCTAGGCCTGCAAAACTTTCCTCGCTAGATAATTGTAGGGTAAACTAAGGCAGCCCTAAATGTGCTAGTAGGCCTCTAAACAGCATAACTCCATTCTAGGATTAAGGCCTGGGAACACCACAGTCAGGATAAGAACTGCAGACAGTAAAAGACCCTGGGCACCATAGCAACCACGTTCTAAAACACTCGGACAGGGTCTCAGTTGGTAACGTAACACATTTTGCTTGAGATAACATTCATAAAATTTGCTTAAACTGTCTTGCTTCACTCCTAGATAATAAGCCTGAGAACCAAGTGCTGCACCAACTCAAGGCCATACCCGCCTCCTATAGCAACATCATCATCTATGGAGACTAAAATGTTATTACTGTTTTGCTGACATGTTTTGGCATTTGAACAATAACCACCTGTATATTAATTAACGAGCTGTTACTTTGCAATGGGTGGAGATATTATGTAATCTTGAGTAGTTCTATTGGCTTATGTGCTCATTTCGTCTTGCTGCTAGACCTATCAAATCATTTTTCCTCCGTCCACCTGCTGACTATATAATCTATTGTATTGTGTTAATTAACCAGTGTTCACCAGGGTAACCCCTGCGTGTCACTCCATCAGCTGATGTATAATAAATCCTCTGCTTGTTTTCACCTGCATCCAGAGTGTCCTGGCTTATTTCCAACATAAATAAACACACCGGCGCGGCCAGTTAGCAACTTTCTCAAAGTGGTTTCACGGATCACTTTGAGAAACACTGATCTAAGGGATTGATCAAATTCCCCCCAGGGATTTCCCTCTTGTTGCTCCTGTAATTCTACTCTAATTTTCCATATCTGATTCTCCCCAAAGAACTAGTCCTCTATTAAAGATACCTTTTGAACCTAGTTGCCTTTTGTCACCTGCCCCTACTCAACTTAGTTTAAAGCCCTTCTAATAAGATTGGTGAGTCACTGCATTAAGATGTCCTTCCCTTTTGTGGTCAGATCGACCCCATCTCTTCCCAGCAAACGGATTTCCCTACTACGATAGGTGAAATTTACATGCCCCTTCTGGAAAAGGGGCCAGTGTAGACGTAGCCCTGATGTATAATAAATCCTCCGCTTGTTTTCACCTGCATCCAGAGTGTCCCGGATTATTTCCAACAATAATAAGCCTGTTTTTCTCTTTGTGTGAGTTCCATTTTCCCCCCTTGGTGCTGGTAGGACAGACAGGTAAGGCCTGCGTTTCCCACCTGCTGCACATGGGAAACCAGTGAAGGCCGTTTCCTCTCTCTTTGCTGCCGAGGAGGTAGACAGGGGAATTGTTACACTGAGTGGCAATGTGGTGAACACCCCCATTGTTAACGGTGCTTCACTGTGTCCCTGGCCTGTTCTCACTCACTGTACAACTTATCATCAGGTCAAAGTGCTTTCCCCCCTCCCAGTAAGTTGCTGGCTCAGACAGTCGGCAATGGGGATTTAACTAAAAACCAATAAACAACAAATGGGGGGGGGGGAGATTATTGTATTCATCACCTGCGTATTAATATTCATGGTACGGAGTTCACCTCGCTACATGAGGGTTATGGGGAAGTGGTGATCCACGTGTGAATTTACACACGAAAGTGGATAAAGGAGTGGAACTGCTGCCAGATCTTGGCTCTCAGAACGTGTGCTGGGGGTCGAGGTAAATGCGTATAGCAGTAAAGTGGTTCTCTTTATTCCTCCGCTCCAGAGTCTCCTGTGCGCGCTTCTTCTTCTTCCAACACACGTGTCTAGTCTATTTGTGTGCCTGTATCGTTCTGGTCTGTGAAGTTAGAAATATCACGGGGGAACCTGTTTTGTTAGCCCAGCAATACGAATCAAAGCCACTAGTGATACCTTAGGAATGTAATGCCTTGGTGATCAAACCAGTGACTCGTGAGTGGTTCTGGTCCAAATGGGGGTTGGCCCTAGAAAGACGTGTGGCCAGACCACCTGATGCTGGGACCATTTTGCATGTGGCACTTTCCCACTCATGGCGAGAAGAGTTTGGACTGAGCACAGAGAATTCCTGCCTTGAGCAACAAGGTGTATTACAGGGGGGACCAAAAAATACAGGTGGGTGCCAGGAGATTCCCACTTACCACTTACGATGCCAGCTGGACACTCCTAAGACTGCGCAGGAGGAAGGATCAGGCCCAAGGTCAGAGGCTGCCTAGCTTGAGAGAGAGAGAGAGAGAGGATTAGAACAGCTGTTTAGAGTGAGAAGTTCCATATAACAAGTTTTAGGGAACTAGCTGGCGAGATTTGTTTATTTTGGTTTTGTGCTTGTACTGCTCTGGTGTGAAGCTGTTACCCCAACTCTACACTTCGGCTGGGGGAGACCAGCACTTCTAGGGGTGGGGTGCTCCTGAGAGGATGCATGGGGGCTCAGTGGCTTGATCCCTCCTCCGAATGAGAACCCCAAGGGACTGTTCAGAGGGATGCTATACTAGCAAGTGACCACTGGGGGCAGTGAACCCAGGGCAGAGCTATATTGCAGGGTGACCACTGGGGGTCCATATGAGATGGGGTTTGACATGTTGCTGGCCTTGGTCTCCCTGTTCTAAGCACTTCCTCTGCTGTTGGCTTCAGCAGAGCGGTAAGGATGAGGAGAAAACCCTCTGGTTGTGGGTGAGAAATGGCTGCTGCACCTAGGGGGAAGGAAGGAAAGAAAAGGCCCCTTTCAGATGGGGTGGAAGATCCCTGCAGGACTAGGATGGGGATGAAAGATGCCTGCTTGAGCTGGGATACCTTATTCTAATCACTCCGGACCTCATTAGCACATGGAGAATATGGGCAAGGCAGGAAGCAGACCCCAGAAATGTATGCATTATGGGGAATAGGACCTCTCCCGACTCTGCCCAGCCGGCATTGCAACGCATGATTATTCCTTTTCTTTGAGCTCATTCTCCACCAAATGGGCCCTAGAGCCAAGGCCGTGAACATTTGAGTGTCTATTTCTATCACTTTCCCACCATCTCCAGCCCAGGGACCGTTTAACCCTCCTGCCTGAGGAGAAGGGCCAGACACAGCGGGGGTGTTGTCAGCTCCCCACAGCGCAAGGCGAGAACGAGGTAATTCCGCCTGAGGGAGAAGCTGTTTGTCACTCCATGACGAGTTCCCGTTTGCACCTGCTGCTCCGTGCGGCCTGAGCCCTTTTGCCAGTCCCTGCCTCCCAGACACCCAGTGCCCAGCTCCCTCCCTGTGCTGGGAAGACGGGAAGCATCTCAGCAAGAGACGCTCTCTGCTCGCACTGAACACGGGGCTTTGTTAAACTCAGGGGAACCGGATCCATTGTCCACAGCGACCCCACCTGCCTCTCTGCCGCTCCAGACCAGGGCCTGCTCCATCCCCTGGCTGCCGATTTAACCCACAGAACACGTACCCTCCCTGAGCTGCTGCCCAGTGCTTCATCCCCCAACCCAGTCTGCCCTTGCAGCCCGCCTGGGAGTGACCCTCTGTCCGACTGCGCCAGCAGCACAGCAGGTGAGCCAAGCGCTCTGCCTTGCTCTAGAGAGTGGCCACGATCCTTGGCTGCCAGGGGCACGTCACACAAACCCACTGGCGGCGCATAGGACAGCGCCAGCAAAAGCCCTTGCCAGGCTCTGAGACAAGACCACTTCCTCCCAAACGCCACTGAGACCCCAAGTCTCTCCCTAGCGATGTGCAGCATAGGCAGCTCCATGGGGTCCCACGGAACGGGGTGCCAGGTTTTGGGGTGCCCTGTGCAGTTGTGAGGTTGCAGCGCTGCTGCCTTTGGCAGCCAGGTCCTCCCCCACCCTGTTCCTCCATAGCCTGCCTCCACCAGGGCCATCTCAGGGACAAACCCTTTTGCCCCACTCCTCTCCACACTGAACTGCTCCCCCTAAGCATCCCCCACCTGCTCTGCCCTCTCCCTGCACCCACCCCACCCTGCCCCACAAGCCCCCTCCCCTGAGAGACCTAGCCCGCAGGCCTGTAGGGGGGCCTGGCACTGGAAGAAGGGATCCGGCCCACCCC